ACCAGGGGAGGCGTAAGCTGAGGAAACTTAACAGGTTGTAGCTGATAAATGGAGCTGAACGTGCTGGCATTCTTGATACTCCAGAAACAAGGACAAGACTGTGGTCAGAAGGCGGCAAGTGGGAAGGAGCTGAGGCTCCTAAGCGGCGGGCTGGGCGGTGTGGGAGGATTTGGACAAAGGCCGTGATGCTTCATGCAGGGGATGCCCTGGCATCAGATGCTGGTTCTGTGGGGTTGGGACAAGTCACCTGCTCAAAGGTGACAAGACTGTGCTGGATATCTTCCTATGCTTAGATGTTACTTTTAGGGAGAGATCATATCTTTACGGGGAAATCCAGGAAAGAATTCCTACAGGAAGTGCCATTCCAACCGGACCTTGAATGTTCTGGTCTGATTTCAAAGGTGGTGGTCAAGTGGAGAGGGAATGATCCAGGCACAGGTCAGCAAACGATCCGCTCGCTGCTGGAGGTGTGGGCTCGCGACAGGAGAGAAGCCTTGCTGGTGTCTCTAGCACGACAAGTACCACGTCCCCGCCCGCCTGTCCTACCTCCAGGGCCTCGCATTCACGCCTTCCTCCTCCCCCCGCTCTCCAGCCAGCCTTGTTCTTACATCAGCACAGTTAAAAACAAGCTACTGTACTTCACGGTGTGACAGAGTCCCCTTAGCGCGGTTTGTCATCCGCGTTCCCGGTAGGAAGGAAGAGAGGAGGCCAGACACCAGTGCTTGTTATCTTCTTCTTCTGTGTTGTCCAGTTTGGGAGCTCTTACCCACATGTGGCTGTTTAAATTTAAATTACTTAAAATTAATAAAACAAAAGGAATAATTCCTAGCCAGGTTTTAAATTCTCAATAGCCATGTGTAGCTAATGTTTACATATCATATGTATGCATACAGGATAGTGCAGATGTAGAACATTGTCATCATTGCAGAACATTCTTATGGGTAGCATTGTTCTACTTAATATCTTAGTATGTTCATATGTGATAAATATCATTTTGAATCAGTTATGTTCCTGCTGTCTTGCTGTTTTATAGTATATTGATACCAAACATGATTTTACCAAGGTATGAAATATGTTAAATCTCACTCTCCCCACACTGAAAACAATCATCCAATTAAATTCTCTGTGACAATCAGTGATGGAAACTTCTGAGGTCAATGAGAATTCTCATCAGAATCAGAATGACTTTCCCTAAGTATCTGTCCATCTTATTAAAACTGTCTTTAGGCCTTAAGCCCATTATCTAAAATACATAAAAGAAAAATGATCACTGTAAAGATGATGCTGGTTTCTCAAAGAGCCAAAGCAAATAATACATATTCTTTTTAAATGTGGGCTTACTAGATGTGTTGCGAGTATTGCTAAAGCTTTCAGCAATTTTTTGGATCAAGAAAAGAAAATAAGGGAAAAGAGGAGACTTGACTGAGGTTTATATTAATGAGGCAAAGTGGGAAAGGGAAACGCAAAGGAATCGTGGGAACCCAGTGCAACCTTTGAATGGGCACAACGATTCACACTCTCAGAGGGCCCTGAACTCACTGTGCTTTTAACTTCTCTGCAAAAAAAAAAAAAAAAAAAAACCAGCAAAAAACACTTCTGACTGCTTTACTTGTAAAATCATTACATTGGTAGACCAACCCTCCTGGCACATGATAAAATAATTATGGAAGTTTGTTGCTGGCTTGGGGAAGAGGGAACTTACTGTCAGTGGGCTCTCTGGGAGTGTTTGGTAAAGCTGGGTTTGTACACTTTAGCAGTTTAGTTTACTGTAGACCAGGCCCTACCAAGTGGATTGAATCTTTCCTCTAATTAATTTTTCCAAATTTTTTTTCTAAAAAATACAATTTCACAAGATGCAGTATAGAAGGAAGGCTTCTGTGGTCAGATAAAGCTTGGGGCATGCTATGCTCCTTCCTCCTTTTCCTACAGAGTCACACGGCTCCATGAAGTGCCACAGTCAGGGGACTTGTATATCTTGGCTTCACTTAGCATCGCTTAAATGGTTTGGCCAGGTTTGGCCTGATCCCTGTTAACAGCTCACAAATCACTGTAGTGTTCTGTAAAGTGTACTTAAAGCACACTTGATTAGTCTACAAACAGAACTACTGAAATAATCAAATCACCTAAAAAGTTCTATGGTTTTATATGAAAAAAGTCTTATTTTTAGGATACTGAAGGATTTAGAAATGAGTAACATTATGTCTATAACTTAAGTACAAATGCTTAAGCTAAAAAAGTGTATATGTGTAGTATATGTGTATATAGATATAGGTACACACACACACATAGAGAGTGCACCCAAATGCAGCAAAATGTTCACAAGTGATGAATTACAGTGATGGATATGATTTGGACAATTTTCGAAGTATTTTTCTAGGTTTTAAAACTTATTAGATAAAAGAAGAGAAATTTTATAAACACAAACATAAGCTGCTTTGAGTATTTTGGATTAAGAAGGGGCTGCCATATGCATGAGTCAATTAGGAGAAAATAAGGATTTTAAGATCCAAAAGGAAGTGAAAGGGGGAGATTCATGTTATTGACTAAGGATAGCGATAAACCTAGAGAAAGGTTTTTCAGGTCATTCTTAGAATTGCGTTGCCATTTCTTTAGGAGTTACGAGTCCATATTCAAGAGTTCCTGCCTTAGACCCTTTATCCAGGCCAATGGGAGCATTGCCCAGAAGACTGTCAGGGGTAGTATTTGTTCTTATTCCTGTCCAGCCCGCAGCATGACACAAAGAAACTTGCCAACTTTTAATTGTGTTATGCAGCCAAATAGGTAGGAAGCCATTCTGAAAAGGGGCTCTCAAGATTTAACTGAAGCCCCAGCTGCTTGACCAGTGGAGCCAATAGCTTGAAATGTGCTGCAGCCAGGACTGGCCTGACCTTGATCTTCCTTAGACTGGCTATTAATCCCCAACTTGCGGCTGGCTCAGGGAAGCAATGTGTAATAGATTGCATGTCATCTTGTATGCTTCTAGGGCACAGACATTGGCATGCAGCATTTTCTGAATAACTTCTCAAGGACTTCAGTGAAGGTTGTAGCATTCAGAGGTAGAAGGTTTCCTAGTCTTCAAATTCCTCCTTGATATATCATTAGCTGAAACAATATTGCAAACATCCCTGTTGCCCTAAGGGAGAGAGAAGAGTCATTTAGTTCCCTGCAGTTTCTGAGATGCTTCTTCTAATATTGTAAAACTGTTGCTAATATGCTCTTTCCATAATGCTGGTATCTTTGTAACCCTGACTCCCCTTGGAAAGCTTTTGCTTATGCTTTTGTCTCTCCTTTTTTTTATTGTTTAACCTTTACAGTAGGTTATAAAAATTGTGAAATTGAATTTTTTCATATTTCTGATAAAGGTTTTAACAGTAAAGTTTCCTACCTCCTTCACTAAGCTCTTCGTAGTACACATTAAAATTGACACAGTTGTTGTGATCTTTTGATAGTCTGTCAGTTATTGTTACAAATATTTATATAACATTAATACATGGTTCTATGTTGCACTTAAACCTTAAGAGTATATTTTATGTAATTATTATATTTGCTAATAATACTGTGATATGTATGGACTTGAGATCTTGCCCATATAGGCATTAAAGCTACAAAGAGATGTCAGAAAATAGTAGTTTCACATCAACACAAACATATGTTTATATTTTATCTCCTCTTTCACACTGGAAGCTAAAGATTAATTACTGGAGAGTAACAATTATAAAATATGTTACAAACAAATGATAAGATTATAAAACTTGACATCTTTATTGTGCTTCACATTTTACAAAGTATTGTCTACAATATTAGCAAAGGAGGCTAAACAAATGATAATCCAATAAGTTTACAAAGGCTCTTTTTGCAAATTAGTGAAACATACGGAGCTGCATAGAACATTAGAATCTCTCATTTTCTCATTATGTTTGTACTAGTTGCTTTTAATAGACCATATCCATTTGGGAGGCTGAAGGTTTTCATTCATAATGATAAAAAATGCTTAACATTTATTATTTCTAGATGCCTCTGATGATGATAGTAAAATTTTAAGCAAACTTTTATACCATTACCTGCTATGTAGCCCCCAGCCAGCAGCAGCAAGGTGCGGATTAAAAGAAAGAACTATTTAGTAATTTCAGAAACTTAGACATTTAGAAAGGTGGTTCTATTACTGGTAAGTGTTTCTGAATAAAGTTAGTTCTTTGCAGATGTGGAAGTGTGATCTCATTCAAAAAAAAATTCCCCTAATTTACAGAGTAACAGTAGCCCTGTATGGTGACATCTGAGAAAAATGATCCAAAATGTTCAATTATTGAATTGATTTTTTGATTCACCTTTTAATCTTGAAAATGTATGATTTGAATGATGTTTGTCTAAAGAGGATATTACTGAAATGCAGGGCATCCATTTCTGCACATGGCTGCTGGTCTGATAAGCTCCTCGGGGGCAGGGTCTTGTCTTATTCTGTGTGTGACTGTGTGTTGGGAAGTCCTCCCAGGAAACCCAGCAAACTGTAATCCTGTCATTCATTTCATGAGAAATGGGCTGGTTTGTCTCTGTAGATAAGATTTTAAGAGGAAAATTTTAGAGTCTTCAAAACTGCGTACAGAAGCATGAAATAGAATTCAGTAGCAGTGGTCTCTAAATTTCCAATAGTCTCTAAATTTCTTGTCCTCTTTTAAAACTGCAGCAGCAAAGAGTGCATTTAATTTCACCGTGTTGCAAATACACTTGGCCAGCTCTCTTGGCAGCAGGCTGCTTACTTTGGTGAGTAAGTCACAGGACTGTTGGCAGGAAAAAGAAAAAATTTCACTCTTTTGAGCATAAAGCTAGATTTTCTAAATTAAATTGTTGTATCCTCATTAGAATATTTATTCCACTAATATTTCAAAATGTTCCTGAGGAGTTAGTTTTAAAATTTGCCTCTAACAAGTTTTTAAAGGGAGTTTCTTGTCTCAATTTGGATTCAGTATTGATTGCCTACTTCCTCTGCTTTTTTTCCCCAGCAGGTAGACCAGTCTACAACAGCTTTTATGTTTACTGCAAAAGCCCCTGTCAAAGAGTACAGCCAGGAAAACTCAGGGTACAGTGCAACATCTGCAAACAAGCAACACTTACCTTGGCCCAGGTAAGGAAATGCAGTGTCAGCATGAGACTGCCAAGAAAAATGAATATACGTTAACAAAGTTTGCCTTTTGGTGTTTCTAATCATATATCACCCACCATTGAAAATAAAAGACATTCTTTATGTGGTTGTAATGGTTAGTGATACCTGAAGTTTCGTTTAAAAAATATACCTTTGTCTTTTGGGTTTCTTTCTACTCTGTAAAAATTTAGGTAGCATGGGGTTATTCTGCCATTTCTTTAATCCAGGCCTATTGAAAGGAAGTATAGACACTGCTTTGATAACAAAAAGAAGTCAGGCATTGGTGGGGGGTATTTTAGAAGGGACAAGAGGGAGCCTTCCAGGCCACTGGAAACATTTTGTATCTTGATCTGTGTGATGGTAGCATGGTTATATACATATGTCAGCATTCACTGGCTTGTTCATTGAAGATTGGTGAATTTAAGGTTGCTAAATGTAAGTTATCCCTCAATTAATTTTGTTTATTTATTTAAAATTATTATGGGTACATAATGTATATTTTTATAGGGTACATCTGATGTTTTGATGCAGGAACACAATGCGAATTAATCAAATCTGGGTAATTGGGGTTATCTGTCACCTCAGGAGTTGACAGTGGGGGTGGTTAATGGGTGCAAAAAATATAGCTAAATAGGTAGAATGAACGATAGTTGATAGCACAAGCTTAACTGTAATCCACAGTAAGTTAGGGTGTACTTTAAGACATCCCTCAGTTTCAAACGGTGGAAAGGAGCCTCTGTGTCAGCGGGCAGTCTGCCTGCAAAGCCAGGCTCGGCCGACGCCGGTCTGCTGTGGCTGCTGCTCGTTTTCATGCAGCCCGCAAGCTAAGAGCTTTTTACGTTTTTAAATGGTTGAGAAAAATCAAAAGATTGAATAATATTGCATAACCCATGAACATTATGTGAAATTTGGACCTCAGTGTCCATAAATAAAGCTTTATTGGAACCCGGCCCCACCCGTTCCTGTGCATGTTGTCTGTGGCTGCTTTCCTGCCGTGAAGGCAGAGCTGAGTGGCTGCGACACAGACTGGGTGGTCCGAAATATTTACTCTCTGTTCCTTCAGGGGAAAGGTCTGCCGACACAAAACATAGACACAGTTGGTGCGTGGCTCCAGTGCGGTGGCTGCGTGCATTTGGCCTGATGTGATGTGGACGTGGCAGTGGGCGGGGGCGTGGAGAGCGTGCCGTCGGCGCCGATGTGAGGCCACAGACGAGGAGGCATAAAGGACGAGTGCTGGGGGCGGGTCAGGTGCTCCGGTGCGGACAAATGCCAGCGATGGCTGCGGCACTCAGATTCTACTCTGCAGGCAGTGGAGGACCAAGGCAAAATCGTAAAATGCTGTTTTAGGACTGCTAGTCCTGTCCAGTTTGCCATTAGTATTGAAGCTGGTGGCAGATCGAAGGTGACGAGGCTAGTTAAGGAACGGTTCACGTGGCTCCTAGGTGTGGAGGGGAGGACCTGGGTCGTGGTGGTGGCCTCATAGCGTGGGAGAAACAGGAGAAAGAACTTGGAAGATGCACCTAATTATAGGAGAAATCGTGGATCTGTTGCCTTAGGCTGGAGAAAATGGCAGGATTACTAAAATCCGTGATTCAGTACGTCACTACGACACCACATTTCATCTGAATAGGGAAATCCTCTTACGAAGCCCGACAGTGAATGATGCCTATGTTCGTCCTGACCAGTTGGGGTGACCTCTTTTTCTGGGGTGTCACCGGGCAGAGTTTTGCCTGGTGAGCTTGCTGGCCCAAAGTCTCAGCCCACTCCTGTCTTCTGCCCCTTCCAACACAAGGTGCAGCCTCTTCTACCCTGATCTGCATTCAAGTCCTGGTTGCTTTAGATGATGGGTATGACCTACTTATACCAACTTCTCGTATCCTTAATAGAAACAATAATAATGATAAATTATTATTGAGTTCCAAGTAAATGCTTTTCAGACATTATCTCACTTAATTATCTCATAACAACACTCTGAGGTAGATTAGTAACCCTATTTTAGATTTGAGAAAATGAGGCTTAAAGAGATTAGGCATTTCCCCAAGAAAACAAGATCTTATGAGTGTGGACGTGGGGTTTGAACCTGGACTGTCTAACCTAAACTTTTAAGCTCTACGGCTTTTCCCCCTTTTTTCCACACACGTGTATGTACGATAAGGGTCACGTACGCAAATGTCTGCAGTGATAGGTGATAAAAAATTAGGTCAGATGTAGGCGGTAAGTGGTAGTAAGCGTGGTGGGGAGTGTGGTTGAAGGGAAAGACTAAACCCATGGATACAAGTGGTGAATGGAGACTTACTGTGGCTGGATCTCTTTTTTTTTAATCAAGAGAAATCATAAATCTGGAATTTTCTATGAAATTTCTCATTTAAAAATTATGCACCGTGGAGGAAAATATAGGGAAAAAAAAGAAAAAAAACAACTTGTGCCATCTGTCTAAAATGTACAAACCAATGCAGAGTGTTGCAGGGATTGAGTGGTGCATTGATATTAGGTGCTTAGCAGAGCCTGGCGTGTGGTCAGCACTCGGTAGCAGTGACGCGTCGTTGAGAGGCCGTATGTTGTGAGCTTGTAAAGAGGACTCTGGAGTCAGCCTGCCCCTGAATCCGACTTCCCCACTTCCTACCTATGTCAGCTTGGGGCATCTGTTCACTGGTATAAGACTATGTATATTTTTTTAGTTGTCATGAAGTATCATACTTAGAACAGTAGCTGGAACATACTTACAATTGTTAAAGCTTTATTATTATTATATTATTATTTGTATGTACATATGCGTGTGTGTATATATTACTATTTATCTATACTTCAGTATGAAATCAATCCAGGCTTTGGCTAATTCCTTTCAGAGAAAGCAGAGCACCCCTGCCCCCGCCCCTGACCATCAGGAGACTGTCCTTGTTTCCGTGTCAGGATGGCGCCCTGTGATGAAGTCCTGCCACCTTGGGTGCCTGGACCAGCACCTTCTCAGGGGATGATCTAGTTGATCCACCCAGTGGTCACGGCTCCACGCACATGACCCCCTGGGATTTTGTCAACTCCCAGAACTGCTCCAACTTTGATATTTAAATTCAAACCTTTTATTCCCCCTGCACTGATTTCTGCTCCATGTAGCATTGACCGTGCTCATCAGTTTTTCTAGAGCTATCTGGCTTCCCCTCTCATCATTTCCTACCCTGAAAGGCCAAAACTTCAACTCTGCTTTGCAGATGTCATTCACTCTCTGCTTCGCATTCTATGCGCTGCCCATTTGCTTGTCTGTATGCTAAGAGTCTGTAAGCCTCAGAAGATCAGATAACTTGTCAGTTTGGGTCTCTGGCTTATTTTTAATACCTCACACAGTACCTTGCCCATAGAAGGACACAAATCAGATAATGTTGATTGAATGGCATCTGCGTTTGAATTTTTATATGTTGACTGCATAAATCCACACCCTTTAGAAATTCTATTTGCAATTTTATAGTCATATTAATCATAGCAATTATGATGGTTTTGTTAAAATTTATTGGTTTTCTTCCTTATGTTTATCTTCTTATATTTTTCTCTAGTTCTCATGATAGACCTGCAAAGTAGATATTATTATTCAGTGTTTTGAACAAAGAGACCCCATTACTTTAAGTAATGAGCCCAAAGATATTCAGTTAACAAATATTGAAGCCAAGAGTAAAAAAAAATCTTCTATTTTCTAAAGCCCTGGCCATTTCTAGGATAGAGTGCTTACTATACAAATCTGGCAATCGACATCCTATTACCTAACCACTTACCTTGTACTTAAAAGATCTCTATGCTTGAGGCATTAGAGACAATGGAATCAAAGATAATTTAAAGATAATTTATTTAATCCATATTTTAGCACAGTTATTAGATATAGCATAACGAGTACATAGCAGATGAGAAGACTAGACATTTCAATTTTTTATTAATAACAAAAATACACATTTAATAATACCTACAAATAATATGTCTGGAGCAGCTGACCAGGCACATTGCTGAAGCCTGCAAGTCTAGCCTTGGCAACCGTAGAGCAGGTGCCGAACTTTACCAAAAGGAACAATTTCTGTGTAGAGAATAGGCAACTTTTGAGTTTCATTTTCTAGAAATTTTTAAAGATAGATAACTTACATAATTTTCTCTGATTAAGAAAAAAGACAACATAGGATCTTATGTGAGTGACCAGTTACGGGGGAACAGCGTGTGGTTTACCTAAACTTTTGCAAGGAGATTTTTATACATAAGGTGAAACATTGGAACCTATTTCGTCACCTGGGTTATTTTGAAAACATAATTTTATTTTTTCTTGTCTGGAGAAATCAGTCTGCAACAAGCTCCGTGCATATCATGAGTCTTAATGGTAACCTCCTAAATTAAATTTTTTGGGGGGGGTGTTTACTTGTAATTCCACCATTTCGTAAACACTATTTAAAGTTTACATGTAATAATAATGAGCTGCCTCTCATACATGATACTCCAGTTTAATTACGTTTCACATTTAATATGATACTCACAAGAAATTGGCTAGAAAGATGGACAGCCACTTTTGCTCTGATGTTAAGCACAGGGAAACTGAGGTCTCAAGTTTTGACTTGACCTTGAGAGTAAGTTGAGAATCGACTCAGACACCATATTGTCTTCTATTTCCAAATCAAAATATCCTCTTTCTTTCATGGTGACCTTGGCCAGGGTTTGGCTAGACCAAAACATCATTTAGAAATATGAACACTCACTGGAAAATAGTGAACAATGGCTGACGGGGAAAACATTGCAAGCATTCGGTTTTCAGCTGCCTGTTCAAAGATCGTCTGCTGAGTTCCATGCAGAAATGAGACAGGGTTGCACACAGCAGGAAGGTTGCTTTTGTAGGTGCTTATATGTTTCTGACTGTGTTCCTGAACAATGAAACCAATAATTTGAAATAACCCGTCACTGTTACCCTCAAAGATTTCCTTAGCACTGATTTATATAAAAAAAATCACTATCGGAGACTG